TGGCCCGCCCCCCCCCTAACGTACCCACGACTTGCTTCTCGAGCCTCAAGATTCACGAGGAGCAACGGAGATTCCTGTCACTTCAGCGATGGGCCGAGCGCTCCCTTAGCCTCCCCTTCTCTCAGCAGCAGCAGCAGCAGAACACGTTTCAAGGGTCATGGGAACAGTGACGGATGAAACTTGTGCGCGGGCCTGTGGCATTTGTGGGTATACAAGGGGGGGCGCTAAGTAAAAAAGGACAAATATTAAAACACCAATTTTGTAACTTGAGCGGTAACGAAAATTGAATTTTGTTCAATTGCCAACGCAGCCGGATGATGCGACGCATCGCTAAAGCTCGAACACCGCGGTCGACTGTAGAAGTTGAAGGGCAGTATAGTACTATAGTGATAGAGCAAGTGCAGGATCACCCAACCGGAATTGAGAGCTTGAAAGCGTTTAGCGCCGGGCTCTTGAAAGAGCGGGGCCTGGAGCATTAGTAGCTACTTGTGTTACTAGGATAATGAGACACCGATAAGTCGCATTAGTAGCTACTTGTGTTACTAGGATAATGAGACACTGATAAGTCGCATTAGTAGCTACTTGTGTTACTAGGATAATGAGACACTGATAAGTAACATTAGTAGCTACTTGTGTTACTAGGATAATAAGACACTGATAAGTCGCATTAGTAGCTACTTGTGTTACTAGGATAATGAGACACTGATAAGTAACATTAGTAGCTACTTGTGTTACTCGGGTAATGAGACACTGATAAGTCGCATTAGTAGCTACTTGTGCTACTAGGATAATGAGACACTGATAAGTCGCATTAGTAGTTACTTGTGCTACTAGGAAGAGACACTGATAAGTCGCATTAGTAGCTACTTGTGTTACTAGGGTAATGAGACACTGAAAAGTCGCATTAGTAGCTACTTGTGTTACTATGATGAGACACTGATAAGTCGCATTAGTAGCTACTTGTGATACTAGGATAATGAGACACTGATAAGTCGCATTAGTAGATACAGTGAGGGAAAAAAGTATTTGATCCCCTGCTGATTTTGTACGTTTGCCCACTGACAAAGAAATGATCAGTCTATAATGTTAATGGTAGGTTTATTTGAACAGTGAGAGACAGAATAACATAAAAATCCATAAAAATGCATTTCAAAAATGTTATAAATTGATCTGCATTTTAATGAGGGAAATAAGTAGTTGATCCCTCTGCAAAACATGACTTAGTACTTGGTGGCAAAACCCTTGTTGGCAATCAGAGGTCAGACGTTTCTTGTAGTTGGCCACCAGGTTTGCACACATCTCAGGAGGGATTTTGTCCCACTCCTCTTTGCAGACCTTCTCCAAGTCATTAACGTTTCGAGGCTGACGTTTGGCAACTCGAACCTTCAGCTCCCTCCACAGACTTTCTATGGGATTAAGGTCTGGAGACTGGCTAGGCCACTCCAGGACCTTAATGTGCTTCTTCTTGAGCCACTCCTTTGTTGCCTTGGCCGTGTGTTTTGGGTCATTGTCATGCTGGAATACCCATCCACGACCCATTTTCAATTCCCTGGCTGAGGGAAGGAGGTTCTCACCCAAGATTTGACGGTACATGGCCCCGTCCATCGTCCCTTTGATGCGGTGAAGTTGTCCTGTCCCCTTAGCAAAAAAACACCCCCAAGCATAATGTTTCCACCTCCATGTTTGACGGTGGGGATGGTGTTCTTGGGGTCATAGGCAGCATTCCTCCTCCTCCAAACACGGCGAGTTGAGTTGATGCCAAAGAGCTCCATTTTGGTCTCATCTGACCACATCACTTTCACCCAGTTGTCCTCTGAATCATTCAGATGTTCATTGGCAAACTTCAGACGGGCATGTGTATGTGCTTTCTTGAGCAGGGGGACCTTGCGGGCGCTGCAGGATTTCAGTCCTTCACGGCGTAGTGTTACCAATTGTTTTCTTGGTGACTATGGTCCCAGCTGCCTTGAGATCATTGACAAGATCCTCCCGTGTAGTTCTGGGCTGATTCCTCACCGTTCTCATGATCATTGCAACTCCACGAGGTGAGATCTTGCATGGAGCCCCAGGCCGAGGGAGATTGACAGTTCTTTTGTGTTTCTTCCATTTGCGAATAATCGCACCAACTGTTGTCACCTTCTCACCAAGCTGCTTGGCAATGGTCTTGTAGCCCATTCCAGCCTTGTGTAGGTCTACAATCTTGTCCCTGACATCCTTAGAGCTCTTTGGTCTTGGCCATGGTGGAGAGTTTGGAATCTGATTGATGATTGCTTCTGTGGACAGGTGTCTTTTATACAGGTAACCAACTGAGATTAGGAGCACTCCCTTTAAGATTGTGCTCCTAATCTCAGCTCGTTACCTGTATAAAAGACACCTGGGAGCCAGAAATCTTTCTGATTGAGAGGGGGTCAAATACTTATTTCCCTCATTAAAATGCAAATCAATTTATAACATTATTGACACGCGTTTTTCTGGATTTTTGTTGTTGTTATTCCGTCTCTCACTGTTCAAATAAACCTACCATTAAAATTATAGACCGATCATTTCTTTGTCAGTGGGAAAACGTACAAAATCAGCAGGGGATCAAATACTTTTTCCCCTCACTGTATATAGGTAAGAAAAGGGGGAGGAGCAAGGGGGGAGAGAGAGGGGGGGGGGGGGCTGTGGGGTAGGGGGGGGGCTGTGTGAGTGCTTGGGGGAGAGGAAGTGAGGCTGGGGGGGGGGGGAGTAGGCGGGGCTAGAAGTGGGAGAGAGGGGGGAATGGGCGGGGCTAGAAGTGGGAGAGAGGGAGGGTGGGCGGGGCTAGAAGTGGGAGAGAGGGGGGAGAGTGGGCGGGGCTAGAAGTGGGAGAGGGGGGGTAGGGGGGGCTGTGTGAGTGCTTGGGGGAGAGGAATTGAGGCTGGGGGGGGAGTGGGCGGGGCTAGAAGTGGGAGAGGGGAGGGGTGTGGGCGGGGCTAGAAGTGGGAGAGGGGAGGGGTGTGGGCGGGGCTAGAAGTGGGAGAGAGGGGTTGAGTGGGTGGGGCTAGAAGTGGGAGAGGGGAGGGTGTGGGCGGGGCTAGAAGTGGGAGAGAGAGGGAGGGGGGAGTGGGCGGGGCTAGAAGTGGGAAGCTGAGTGTGGGACACCGGGGGGAGGGGAATTTTAAAAATAAAATAATGTACGAGTAGACCCGGCAGGTAGGAGGATGGAAACAACCACAACCAGTAAACTTTAATGGCCTCGTCAAAGCAACGCAACACGGAGAGAGAGAGCGCGGGGGGGAGGGTCACAACGCCACCGCCGCCCAGCACAAGCTTCACGAGGCACGGCACCACCCCCCCACCCACCACGGCACGCCACTCCCCCCTCGTCTCTCCCTCCCTTCCACTCCTCTCTCCTCACCCTCCATCCCTCCCCTCCACCTTCCCTCACGAGACAGACAGAGACAGGGCTAGGAGACAGACAGAGACAGGGCTAGGAGAGACAGACAGACAGGGCTAGGAGACAGAGAGACAGGACTAGGTGACAGAGACAGGGCTAGGACACAGACAGGGCTAGGAGACAGACAGAGACAGGGCTAGGAGACAGACAGAGACAGGGCTAGGACACAGAGAGACAGGGCTAGGACACAGAGAGACAGGGCTAGGACACAGACAGAGACAGGGCTAGGACACAGACAGAGACCGGGCTAGGAGACAGACAGGGCTAGGTGACAGAGACAGGGCTAGGAGACAGACAGACAGGGCTAGGAGACAGACAGGGCTAGGAGACAGACAGAGACAGGGCTAGGAGACAGACAGAGACAGGGCTAGGAGACAGACAGAGACAGGGCTAGGAGACAGACAGAGACAGGGCTAGGAGACAGACAGAGACAGGGCTAGGACACAGACAGGGCTAGGAGACAGACAGGGCTAGGAGACAGACAGAGACAGGGCTAGGAGAGACAGACAGAGACAGGGCTAGGGACACAGACAGAGACAGGGCTAGGACACAGACAGAGACAGGGCTAGGACACAGACAGACAGGGCTAGGAGACAGACAGAGACAGGGCTAGGATACAGACAGAGACAGGGCTAGGAGACAGACAGAGACAGGGCTAGGACACAGACAGAGACAGGGCTAGGAGACAGACAGGGCTAGGAGACAGACAGAGACAGGGCTAGGAGACAGACAGAGACAGGGCTAGGACACAGACAGAGACAGGGCTAGGACACAGACAGAGACAGGGCTAGGACACAGACAGAGACAGGGCTAGGAGACAGACAGAGACAGGGCTAGGAGACAGACAGAGACAGGGCTAGGAGACAGACAGAGACAGGGCTAGGAGACAGACAGAGACAGGGCTAGGAGACAGACAGAGACAGGGCTAGGACACAGACAGGGCTAGGAGACAGACAGGGCTAGGAGACAGACAGAGACAGGGCTAGGAGACAGACAGAGACAGGGCTAGGAGACAGACAGAGACAGGGCTAGGAGAGACAGACAGAGACAGGGCTAGGGACACAGACAGAGACAGGGCTAGGACACAGACAGAGACAGGGCTAGGACACAGACAGACAGGGCTAGGAGACAGACAGAGACAGGGCTAGGATACAGACAGAGACAGGGCTAGGAGACAGACAGAGACAGGGCTAGGACACAGACAGAGACAGGGCTAGGAGACAGACAGGGCTAGGAGACAGACAGAGACAGGGCTAGGAGACAGACAGAGACAGGGCTAGGACACAGACAGAGACAGGGCTAGGACACAGACAGAGACAGGGCTAGGAGACAGACAGGGCTAGGAGACAGACAGAGACAGGGCTAGGAGACAGACAGAGACAGGGCTAGGACACAGACAGAGACAGGGCTAGGATACAGACAGACAGGGCTAGGAGACAGACAGAGACAGGGCTAGGACACAGACAGAGACAGGGCTAGGACACAGACAGAGACAGGGCTAGGACACAGAGACAGGGCTAGGAGACAGACAGAGACAGGGCTATGAGACAGACAGAGAGACAGGGCTAGGACACAGACAGAGACAGGGCTAGGAGACAGACAGAGACAGGGCTAGGACACAGACAGAGACAGGGCTAGGACACAGAGACAGGGCTAGGACACAGACAGAGACAGGGCTAGGAGCTGCACATGAGACAGGGCTAGGAGAGACAGAGAGAGAGACAGGGCTAGGAGCTGCACTTGAGACAGGGCTAGGAGAGACAGACAGAGAGACAGGGCTAGGAGCTGCACATGAGACAGGGCTAGGACACAGACAGAGACAGGGCTAGGAGCTGCACATGAGACAGGGCTAGGAGAGACATAGACAGGGCTAGGAGAGACAGAGAGAGACAGGGCTAGGACACAGAGAGAGACAGGGCTAGGAGAGACAGACAGAGACAGGGCTTGGACACAGAGAGAGACAGGGCTAGGAGAGACAGACAGAGACAGGGCTAGGAGCTGCACATGAGACAGGGCTAGGAGCTGCACATGAGACAGGGCTAGGGGAGACAGAGAGACAGGGCTAGGAGAGACAGAGAGAGAGACAGGGCTAGGACACAGACAGAGACAGGGCTAGGAGCTGCACATGAGACAGGGCTAGGAGAGACATAGACAGGGCTAGGAGAGACAGAGAGAGACAGGGCTAGGACACAGAGAGAGACAGGGCTAGGTCACAGACACAGACAGGGCTAGGAGCTGCACATGAGACAGGGCTAGGAGAGACATAGACAGGGCTAGGAGAGACAGAGAGAGACAGGGCTAGGACACAGAGAGAGACAGGGCTAGGACACAGACAGAGAGACAGGGCTAGGAGCTGCACATGAGACAGAGAGAGACAGGGCTAGGAGAGACAGAGACGGTGCTAGGAGCTGCACATGAGACAGGATTCCTTGTTGTCCAGGGAGCACACCATCGCTGCCAAGTTCGCCTCGGCCGCGGTGACGTCGCCAACGCCGGCGGCGGCGGCGTCGGCGGCGTCGGTGGCTCTCAGCATCTCCTTGTCCAGGGTGAACTGGATGGGGCTGGCGGCTGCCTTGGTGCGGAGGTAGTACATGCCGGTCTTCAGCCCCTGGGGACGCCGTGCACACACGCACGGAGCACGGGTGAGCGCGGCGGGCGGGTGAGCGGGCGGGCAGATGAGTGGGTGAGTGAGCGAGTGGGCGAGTAGAGTGGGCGAGTGAGTGGGTGAGTGAGCGGGTGGGCGAGTGGGTGAGTGAGTGAGTAGGCGAGTGAGTGAGTGAGTGGGTGAGTGAGTGGGTGGGCGAGTGAGTGGGTGAGTGAGTGAGTGGGCGGGTGAGTGAGCGGGTGAGTGACTGGGTGAGTGAGTGAGTAGGTGAGTGAGTGAGTGGGTGAGTGAGTGGGTGGGCGAGTGAGTGGGTGAGTGAGTGGGTGAGTGAGTGAGTGGGTGAGTGAGTGGGTGGGCGAGTGAGTGGGTGAGTGAGTGGGTGAGCGAGCGAGTGGGTGGGTGGGCGAGCGGGCGGGTGGGTGAGTGAGTAGGTGAGTGAGTGGGTGGGTGAGCGAGCCGGTGAGCGAGCCGGTGAGCGAGCCGGTGAGCGAGCGAATGGGTGGGTGGGTGAGTGAGTGGGTGGGTAGGTGAGTGAGTGGGTGGGTGAGCAAGCCGGTGAGCGAGCGGGTGAGCGAGCGGGTGAGCAGCTCACCTGCTTCCAGCCGTAGAAGTGCATGCTGGTGAGCTTGCCGTAGTTGGGCTCTGCAACGTGAATGTTCAGCGACTGGCTCTGGTCAATGAAGGCTCCACGATCGGCGGCCATCTTGATGATGGTCTTCTGCGAGATCTCCCAGACGGTCTTGTAGAGCTCCTTGACGTCGTCTGGGATGCCGGCGATGTTCTGAGGAGAGGGAGGGGGAGGGGGGGGGTGGTGAGGGAGGGAGAGGGGGGGGGTGGTGAGTGGTGAGTGAGTGGTGAGGGAGGAGTGGGAGGGAGGGAGAGGTGGTGAGTGAGTGGTGAGGGAGAGAGAGGGAGGGAGAGGGGGGTGGTGAGGGAGGAGAGGGAGGGAGAGGGGGGGGTGGTGAGTGAGTGGTGAGGGAGGAGAGGGAGGGAGAGGTGGTGAGGGAGTGGTGAGGGAGGAGAAGGAGGGAGGGAGAGGGGGGGTGGTGAGTGGGTGGTGAGGGAGGAGAGGGAGGGAGAGGTGGTGAGTGGTGAGGGAGGAGAGGGAGGGAGGGAGAGGTGGTGAGTGGGTGGTGAGGGAGGAGAGGGAGGGAGAGGTGGTGAGTGGTGAGGGAGGAGAGGGAGGGAGGGAGGGAGAGGGGGGGTGGTGAGTGAGTGGTGAGGGAGAAGAGGGAGGAGTGGTGAGTGAGTGGTGAGGGAGGAGAGGGAGGGAGAGGTGGTGAGTGGGTGGTGAGGGAGGAGTGGTGAGTGAGTGGTGAGTGAGTGGTGAGGGAGAAGAGGGAGGGAGAGGGAGGGGTGGTGAGTGAGTGGTGAGTGAGTGGTGAGGGAGGAGTGGGAGGGAGGGGTAGTGAGTGAGTGGTGAGTGAGTGGTGAGGGAGGGAGGTGAGTGGTGAGTGAGTGGTGAGTGAGTGGTGAGGGAGGAGAGGGGGGGTGGTGAGTGGGTGGTGAGTGAGTGGTGAGTGAGTGGTGAGGGAGAAGAGGGAGGGGTGGTGAGTGAGTGGTGAGTGAGTGGTGAGTGAGTGGTGAGGGAGAAGAGGGAGGGGTGGTGAGTGAGTGGTGAGTGAGTGGTGAGGGAGAAGAGGGAGGGAGAGGGAGGGGTGGTGAGTGGGTGGTGAGGGAGGAGTGGTGAGTGAGTGGTGAGTGAGTGGTGAGGGAGTGAGCGCCCACTCGCACGCTCACCCACACAAAAAGCGACGTTGTACACGGCCCCTTTCAAAAGGCAGAATATGTCCCACCCCCCCCACCACCACCCACCCCCCCACCACCACCCCCCCACTACCACCCCCCCACCACCACCACCCCCCCACTACCATCCCCACCACCCCCCCACCACCCCCGCCACCACCCCCCCCACCGTCCGATGTGGCTGGAGTTCCGTCACCACCGGATAAATATCGGCAGTGATCGATGTCCTTTATTTACTTAACCCCCGTATAGCGAGACGCCCACGGGAGTCATCGACTCGATAGCACAAGGAGGAGGGGAGCATGGGGTGGGGGGCATGAGATCACCTTCGTGACGACACACACGCACAGCACACACACACACAGCACCTATACACACACAGTACACACACAGTACACAGTACACACACACACTGACACACACACACCACCACACACACAGCACCTATACACACACAGTACACACCACACACACAGTACACACACAGTACACAGTACACACACACCGACACACACGCACAGCACACACACACAGCACCTATACACACACAGTACACACACAGTACACAACACACACACACTGACACACACACACACTGACACACCACCACACACACACACACCACACACACACAGTACACACACAGTACACACACAGTACACACCACACACACACTACACACACACACCACCACACACACACGCACAGCACCTATACACACAGCACCTATACACACACAGTACACACACAGTACACAACACACACAAACACAGTACACCCACACAGTACACACACACACCACACACACAGTACACACCACACACACTACACACACACACCACCACACACACACCACCACACACACACAACACACACTGACACACACACACTGGCACACACACACCATACACACCACACACACCATACACACCACACACACCATACACACACCACACACACTACACCACACATCGACTCGATAGCACAAGGAGGAGGGGAGCATGGGGTGGGGGGCATGAGATCACCATCACCTTCGTGACGACACACACGCACAGCACACACACACAGCACCTATACACACACAGTACACACACACAGTACACAACACACACACACACAGCACCTATACACACACAGTACACACACAGTGACACAGTACACACACACCGACACACACACACCGACACACACACACCACCACACACACACCACCACACACACACGCACAGCACACACACGCACAGCACACACACACAGCACCTATACACACACAGTACACACACAGTACACACACAGTGACACACACACACACTGACACACACACACACACACCACCACACACCACCACACACACACCACCACACACACAGTACACAACACACACACAGTACACACACACCACACCACACACACACCAAACACACACACACTACACACACACACACCACACCACCACACACACACCACCACACACACACACTGGCACACACACCATACACACCACACACACACCACACACACACCACCACACACTGACACACACACCACACACACACACTGGCACACACCATACACACCACACACACCATACACACACCACACCACCACACATACACCGGCACGTGACGTGACAAAGGATCGAGAGAGAGACGCTGAGGGGTTGAAGTGCCGCATCTGACATCCAGCACGGCACCACCACACACACCGTGGTGGGGGGGGTGGGGGGAAGGGTTGTGGGGGGGTGGTGGTGGTGGGGGGAAGGGTGGTGGAGGGGGGTGGTGGTAGTGGTGGGGGGTGGTTGTGGGGGGAAAGGTGGTGGTAGTGGTGGGAAGAGTGGTGGGGGTAGTGGTGGGGAGTGGTGGAGGGGGGTGGTGTTGGTGGTGGGGGGAAGGGTGGTGGAGGGGGGTGGTGGTAGTGGTGGGGGGTGGTTGTGGGGGGAAAGGTGGTGGTAGTGGTGGTGGGAGGAAGAGTGGTGGGGGTAGTGGTGGGGGGTGGTGGTGGTGGGGGGAAGGGTGGTGGAGGGGGGTGGTGTTGGTGGTGGGGGGAAGGGTGGTGGAGGGGGGTGGTGGTAGTGGTGGGGGGTGATTGTGGGGGGAAAGGTGGTGGTAGTGGTGGTGGTAGTGGTGGTGGTAGTGGTGGGGGGTGGTGGAGGGGGGTGGTGTTGGTGGTGGGGGGAAGGGTGGTAGGATGGGAGGTGGTGGGTGGGGACGCAGCACAAAGACAAAGGTCCCCCGTGTAGCCTCTACCAGGCTGCAGGGGCAAGTGCAGTCAGCAGAATCTATGCAGGGAGACTGAGATCCCAACAGCGGCAACAGCACTTGCCCCGACAGTCTGTTAGAGGCTACACGGGGGACCTTTGTCTTTGCCGCGTGGTGTGTGGGGAGCGGTGGTGCAGCGGTTAGCGCCACGCTACAACTTTGTTACCGGGTGAGTGAGTGGGTGAGTGAGTGGGTGAGTAGGTTGATGAGTGGGTTGGTGAGTGGGTGAGACAAGGGTGAGCGTGTGAGTGAGTGGGTGAGTGAGTGGGTGAGTGTGTGGGTGAGTGGGTTGGTGAGTGGGTGAGACAAGGGTGAGCGGGTGAGGGGGTGAGTGAGTGGGTGAGCGAGTGGGTGAGTGAGACAAGGGTGAGCGGGTGGGTGAGCGTGTGGGTGAGCGGACGAGTGAGCAGTATGGATGAGACGGGTGAGTAGGTGAGTAGGTGAGTGAGTGAGTAGGTGAGTGAGTAGGTGAGCGAGTGAGTAGGTGAGCGAGTAGGTGAACGAGTGAGTAGGTGAGTGAGTAGGCGAGCGAGTGAGTAGGTGAGTTAGTAGGTGAGCGAGTGAGTAGGTGAGTAGGTGAGTGAGTAGGTGAGTGAGTAGGTGAGTGAGTAGGTGAGTGAGTGAGTAGGTGAGTGAGTAGGTGAGTGAGTGAGTAGGTGAGTGAGTGAGTAGGTGAGTGAGTGAGTGAGCAGGTGAGTGAGTGAGTAGGTGAGTGAGTAGGTGAGTGAGTAGGTGAGTGAGTAGGTGAGTTAGTGAGTGAGCAGGTGAGTGAATAGGTGAGCGAGTAGGTGAGCGAGTGAGTAGGTGAGGGAGTAGGTGAGTGAGTAGGTGAGTGAGTAGGTGAGTGAGTGAGTAGGTGAGTGAGTAGGTGAGTGAGTGAGTAGGTGAGTGAGTGAGTAGGTGAGTGAGTGAGTGAGCAGGTGAGTGAGTGAGTAGGTGAGTGAGTAGGTGAGTGAGTAGGTGAGTGAGTAGGTGAGTTAGTGAGTGAGCAGGTGAGTGAGTGAGTGAATAGGTGAGTGAGTAGGTGAGCGAGTGAGTAGGTGAGGGAGTAGGTGAGTGAGTAGGTGAGTGAGTAGGTGAGTGAGTGAGTAGGTGAGTGAGTGAGTAGGTGAGTGAGTGAGTAGGTGAGTGAGTGAGTGAGTAGGTGAGTGAGTGAGTAGATAAGTGAGTGAGTAGGTGAGTGAGTAGGTGAGTGAGTGAGTAGGTGAGTGAGTAGGTGAGTGAGTGAGTAGATGAGTGAGTAGGCGAGTGAGTAGGTGAGTGAGTAGGTGAGTGAGTGAGTAGGTGAGTGAGTAGGTGAGTGAGTGAGTAGGTGAGTGAGTAGGTGAGCGAGTGAGTAGGTGAGGGAGTAGGTGAGTGAGTAGGTGAGTGAGTAGGTGAGTGAGTGAGTAGGTGAGTGAGTGAGTAGGTGAGTGAGTGAGTAGGTGAGTGAGTGAGTGAGTAGATGAGTGAGTAGGCGAGTGAGTAGGTGAGTGAGTAGGTGAGTGAGTAGGTGAGTGAGTAGGTGAGTGAGTAGGTGAGTGAGTAGGTGAGTGAGTAGGTGAGTGAGTAGGTGAGTGAGTGAGTGAGTAGGTGAGTGAGTGAGTAGGTGAGTGAGTGAGTGAGTAGGTGAGTGAGTGAGTAGGTGAGTGAGTAGTTGAGGGGTATGGATGAGGCGAGGCAGACACTGTGACGGGTTAAGTGCAGTGTGCTGGAATCCGTGACTCGGCTATCGATTGATCCGGCCTCGTTAGTCGAGGGGGCGTGAGGGGGAGGGGCGCGAGGGGGGGGCGAGGGG